AAACATAATGTTCTTCATGTAATTGTAGATTAATGATAAAATAAATAAATAAATAAATAATAATAAAAACACCACACACAGCAATACTATATTTCACTAAGGGTGTGGGGGCAGAAGGGATTTTTTGGCATGAGAGACGAAAGGGATGAGGTTGGGAGTTTTCTGTGTACAGCCTTTGGAGGAATAATAACTGACACCTATACAGGTAACTGCCCACTTGGGGCTTCCCTGTGTCATGTTTTGTCATGCCTATTTAAATTACATTAAAAGCCAACATAAACTTTTATATTAATAGCCCTCACCTTAAGAGTTGTATCTGTAGATGAGGCAAATTCCTCCTTTGTCTTATCCTATAAGCTGCCTTCTGAGAATCAGAAGAGAACAACCAAGTTCGATCATTCGAACAGGGAGCATCAACTAACACCTATAAAAAAAGAAAAGGACACAAAATGCAAATATGCCATGAAAAATATATTTATAGATACAACATTATACAGGAAAACTATATAAAACATGACAAAAACTAGCAATAAAATAAAGACATTTCTTTTAAAATAAAAAATGCACAATGATTAAGTTCTTCTTTATGTCATTTCTTCACCAATACTTTACAGAAAAGATATCCTGAGCACCGTGGGTTTTTTTTTGCAGGGAGCGGTAACTAATGTCTGCTCATATTTCATATTCTTGACAATTAAAGCAAAAACTTTTACAAAAGTTACTCATTTTAAACAGACATTGCTGTATTTCTGAATTCTCAGCATTTATTTTTAAGAACTAATATTTCAATTTCAGTTCACTGAAATGGTCTCTTTTTCTTCAACTGTCATACTCTGATATTAAATGTTAATGAATTAAAGCAATATAGTGCACATGTTTGTGTACTGAACCAAATAATATCTGATCTTTTCCTGACTATATTTGACATACCTGAAAATAAAAAACATTCTGTAATCCCCAACCCCCGTGTGACCACTTCCTTTGAACCATGCTGGCCATCACATGAAAACTGCTTTCATGTTCACTTTATCAGAATTTCCCAGGGTGCTTTGAAATTGTATCAGGTTATGTCTGGAAGCAGATGGAAAACAACAAAACAACATAACGCTGGTATTACTGGGAGCCCATCAGTTTGTCACAATGTAATACAAGTACCTTGTCAAACGTTTCAGGATGGGCATCTCCTACTTCTCTGCCATCCAATTCAGTCACTTTAATTACATCTACCAAAAGCTGTGGGATGAAAGATTCTAACGTCTGCTTCAGCCACCTCAATCTCAAACTATCATATTCATTGCAATGAAGATAACCTAAATATAAAGGATTAAAAAGTTTTGCAGTGAATGCAACGGAATTGTTAAGTTTCTACTTTTGATAAAATAAATTTCAGAAAGAAATCAATTCATCATAATTATGCAGAAATGGGCTCAGAGGTAAATATTATGATTACCTTGTGCTTAAAAAAACAGAAATACACACACTCACTCACACTACATAAAACATTTATCACAGTCATGCCCAAACAGACTCTCAGAAGCTCTCACAATTTACTCATTCAAATTTAATTTTGGAAGTGAAATCCTATAGAGAATTATGGATTCCTAAAAGTGTGCTATACAACCAGTATCTCAGACATAGTTCTCCCCTAAAGATCTTGATAGTACATCACATATTCTATTAAATATGCAAGCTCCTACCAGGACAGAACATGTTCATTTTAAATAAAGGTATGAAGTATGTGGGAAAAAGCATTCCAAATGCTTTTGGCTCTATGATAAGACAGACATGGGCTCAAATTGTGAGCTGTGAGGCTGCAGAGGTTACTTGGCTCTCCTCAAGAGTCTCAGTTTCCTTATCTGTAAAATGGGGATTGTACCTAGTGAGGGGGTTCAGAACATACCATTCAAATATACTGCTTTGACATATTGATGACTTTGAGATAAGCACCTGAATAACAGTATATGTGCGAAGGGCATTCTGTCCTTCCTTTTTCTACCTGAAAGCAAGAAAAGAACTCCCATGTGAATGACAAATACCCTCCCTGTACCAGGAGGAAAGAAATGTTTTTGTCATCACAGATAGGGAGTCAAGGCCAAGAGAAATCTGTACAAACAGACCTTGCTAAAACTAATTCTTCCTTTCTTCTCTCCATATTTTTTTACTTTTTCACAAGTGGCACACAATCTTCATTCCACCTACCATATAAGCACTTAGGCCCAACCATTTCTTAGGGTCTTCTTTTTCCTGTGGCAACTACCATGTACACATAATCCCTGTTTTACTCCTGTTAATCTGTCTGCGTCAGTCCCAACAAGAAACCCTACAGATAGAGAATTTTACCTTCCCTATACTAGCTACCCTACAAAGTGATTAAGATTAAAGTAGGAAAATTTAATTTAGGAACATATCTAGCACAGTACTGCAAAAGTAGTAATAAGAAGTGTTCATGATAATTACTAATAATTCCTGAGTCCTTATTATGTCCCAGATATTGTTCGAAGACTTTATGTGTAGGAACACATTTAGTCCTCACAAATTTATGAGGTAGATATTTTGTTATTTCTATTTTACTGAGGAGAAAACTCAGGCCAAGAGATGGTAAGTATTTTGCCCAGGTGCACAGAACAGGAAATACAAACATGTTAGTTTCAGAGCTCTACCTTTTTCAGTACCATGCTACACTGCTTATCAGGGTAAAAAGGCACTCAGTTCAATGCTTCACTCCCTAATAAAACAGTTGTTTGCTTTTCCTTTATTTAAATATATATTTATATTTATAAATTTTACATTTATTATATAACAATGTAAGTTATATACATTATATAATGTATATTTAATCCAACCATATTTTTAAATGCATAAAAATATAAAGAACATCAAAAATTACCTGAAACCCAGTCTTCAGATAAACATCACTTAACATTTTGATAATCATTCCATACCTTGTTATGCATATACCCACATATACAATTTATAAAATTATAATTATATATATTTGTAGTGTCATTTTTCACCTCATTCTTCATCCATCCCCTCCACCAATAGCCCAACTACTCCATCAAAAGGAACCTATATTATCAACTACATATATATGCTTATATATGTTTACATAATTATCTACATACCAACAATTGTACTTACATACTTCCCTGCCCCCTTACTCTCCACATACACCAATACTTCAAAAGAAATACCACTAATTCAATTGGTAGATATAGAAATAATTTTTAAAGCTGCTAAACAGTACATGCAATAGATGTGTCACTCTACTCAACCACTACCGATTGTCAGGCATTCACAATGTCACTAATAACAACATTCAATGAACATCTTTTTACAGCTGTCCTTTCATAATGTACTTTATTATTATTGGATAGTACCAGAGGAATGGATAGGTTTGGGTAGGGAATTTTTACTTTTAGTAAATACAACCCTGTCCCTTCACCAAACTTCAACAAGTTAATATTAGGCTGATACAGGATATAAGTGATGTTGTAGTATAATCCTTGATTTCTAACACAATTGAGCATCTTTTCATTTGTCTGTTTGCCATTTAGTTTTGCTTTTCTGTCAAGTCTCAATTCTTATTCTTTGTCCTTTTTTTCCCTGTTGCACAGTTTATATTTTTCTTATGAACAGGTAAGATGTATTTTCATATTATAGATATTAACCCTTTATCTGTCATCTGATTTGCAAATACATGTCCTAAATTGCCTTCTGAATTCCTTTGTATCTTTTTTTAATACTTAAGTTTCACAATTTCTTAATAGTCAATTGCACCACTTTTATAATTTCTAGGGTTTTTGGTCTTTTTTAAGGTAGTCCTTTCAACTATTAGATTTTTCAGGTCTGATTCAACTAAACATGCACACAGGCCACATTTAGCATCATCCCACACACGACAGGAGCCATAGCCTGCAAAAAGGAGAGGGTGAGACATGCCTCTTTTATGGAAGGCTTTATGACAGTCCATACAGGTGGTAGCTGAGTTGCGAAGATAAGATTAACATTGATCAGGTGGAGAAGCTGGCCTGATTTGAAAGCCTCATATTCTACGGGGACCAACACCTCTTCTAACAACTCCACAGGCACAGCCTCCAGGGTCTCCACAAGGGACATGTCCAATTACCAGAATCACTGCACTCAGGAAGGCCCAAAGCATGGCATCCCCAGTGGGTCTCTAGGGTTTATTTATTCTTTCTCCCAGCGCACATGTTTTTTAACCATAAGGGTCATTATTATCACAAGCAATGTTGCCTGAAAACATAGTGACAAACTGTCAGATTACTGGGAAACAAGGCTAGAGAACTGATTGAAGGTGAAATTATAATGTAAGGGGGGAAAAGTTTTGTAAACCAGTCGTTCAAATACATAAGCACATTTTTCCAAAAAAGAAATAAGAAACTTGTAACACTCTCTCCCAAATTAGATAGTATTGTTATTATGTATTTGGATTTTATTTGGCCTTACATTTTTTAACTGTACAGAACATTCTGATCATTGTCTGCTTCTACATTCAGTAGCTGTTAGATTTTTCCCCATATACTTCCCAACTTCTTTGCTCTTAATTTCTTTTTGTATCTTCTATCTTCCATCCAGGATGGCTTTCCTTTTTCCTGAAGCACATCCTTCAGAATTGTTGGTGACAAACTTATGCTCTCGCTCTGTCAAAAAAAATGTCCACTTCTCTTTCGCTGTTCAGAGATATTTTGGTGAATACATTACTGGTTTGATAATCATCTTTTCTTAGCACATTGAAAACATCATCCTACTGAATGCTGGTTTCTATTTTCCACTATTACTCTCAAAGGTCAATCCTCAATCTAATTGTTGTCCTTTGAAGGTAAACTGTCTTCTGTGGCTGCTATCAAATCTTCTCTTTATTTTCAGTGTTCTGCAACTTTACCGTAATGCTTTATATTGGCTTAGCTGTGGTTACAAAATTTCCAAGGGTACTTCCACTCCTCCCCCACAGCTAAAGTTAAAGACACACAGTTCTCTTGTAAACCCTTGAAGAGGACAATTTCTTCCCAGTTTACCTTACATTGAGGGAATAGTATTTTGGAGTCTCAGCTTTTGTTAGTTAGCCTCCTAGGAAATGCTCTACTTGGGTAGGCTCTGGATTTGTCTTCCATTCCCACATTTTCAAGAATCAATGAGAATCAACATGCAAGTTTTTCAGGTTAGACAAATGCTCTCAAGTGAAAAGCCAGCTTCAGTGCTCAATTTATCTTCTGGTTCCCACAATCTCTTAGATTTTGGTCACTAAGTATTTACAGATCATTGATGCATTTTTAAAAGATTTTATTTTTCTTTATTATACCTCATATTTTTTAGTTGTTTTTAGCAGGAAGGTTGGTTAAGATACCTAGTTTGTCACACCACAGGAAATACAAGTTTTTATTATTTCTATATCCTTCATAGCTCCACACCTACCATCTAATGCCTTACACATAGTGTAGGTTCCCCCATATATGTGTCCCACTTCATTTGAAAGGCAGCATTATAATAAAGAATATTTAAATTGGTAAAACTGAAAATCAGGGCAGCTTTTCACTAAATTATTGAGTCAAGAGTCTCAATTCAGCATTTTAAAATAACTCTCAGCTGAGATATAGCTTTATGCTATACAGTTTGGCCTAGATGTATATTTTGTTTGAAGTAGTCTTAGATTGGTAAAACTTTAAAAAATATATAATATAAGGCATAATAATCCAAGTTTCATATACATATGTATATAACATATATACTATGTATGTATTTTATATTTATATATACACACACACACACTAAGATTTACTATGCTGAGAAAGAATTTCATACTTAAATCATCAAAAATAAACCAAATTTTGATATTTTTTCATTGAAGCAAGAAAGGGGTAAATTTAACAAATACCTGAAAAAGTCATTGAAGGCTTTACATTTGTACATGCTGCTTTTGGTCGACAGAATAGAACTAAAACTGGTAGTTTCATTCATTAATTTATTTTGGCACACCTAACTTAGAAAAAACCAATTCTGCCTATTTTTCAGTCCTGCTAATTATTCCTTAAGCCATAAGCCATAATTATGAGTGTCTGCTATGTTCCTCTCAATGTAAAAACTGGAACAATGATACTGCCCATATACTACAAGCACTATGAAGGCTAATGGCAAAGTTCTTTGAGCTAACTAGAAGCAATGTTACAAATTCACAAGATAACAAAATGGTAACAATAAATGTGTTAAAAAGTGCTTGACAATTGATTAAAATACACTTAAAGTACAACCACTTTAAGGTTCTGGTTTCCAAAGCACCTGCTATAGACTGCGAATAATGGTAGTAGCACAAATTCAAAGGTAAGTGAGAGCCTGCACCTATCCTCAAGAAGCTATCTAAGGAAGGATGCTAGACAAGTCCGCAGCCGAGTAACAGTGGGAGACAGCAGAAATGAAGAGCACATTAATGAACACATGAATTCAGATCCCAGCTCTGTCACTTACCTGGGGCAATTTAGTAATTTCTCTTTGTCTTAGTTTCCTTAAGATAAGAATATTTATGCCCAATTAATGGGTTTGTAGAGCTAAACAAGATTATGTACACAAGTGATATTTATACTGTGTTCCTCAGAGCTCTAGGACTTCAGCAAGCTATTTATATGGCAATACAACAATATGATGCTGGAAGTAAAGACTACTAAAAAATGTTTGAAAAACAAAAATTGATGCAAGGTGATTAATACAGTCTCTGGCATATTCTAGGTGTTCCAAACAGTCGTTGTTTTTATTATTACCAGAAGAAGGTGCACCTAATTCAGGGAGTTCTGGGATGGCTTTCTGGGAAAGTTGATTCCTGAGCAAAAACCTGAAGAGTGGAAAAGGAATTAACAGGGGAAGAGGAGGGGGAAGTGGTACCTGAAAGGTGTGCAAAAATCCTGGAGGTCCGAGGGAGCAGGAAGAAGGGCAAAAGCAATTCAGTAAAGAAAGGAGTCTTTCTAATCTCTACCACTAAAAGGCTAACAAGATGTCAAAAAGATACTACTTACACAAAGAGAATTTCATGCCTGGAGGGATATAGCCCTCAGCAAGAAAGGTGATCAAGCCATTCCACCAATCTGGGTTTTCTTAGCATGTTAATGCTTTCCTACTTACAATCAGGATTATTTTCTTTTTTTGTTTTATCATGGCCAGGACTTTACAAAGACTGTGATGACAAAAACAGAAGAAAAAATATAATGAACAACCCATCACTGTCCTAGCAGGTGGAAGCAGCTGGACCAAAAAAGAAGTACACTTATTTTTTTTTAATGTGAGCTTTTTAATCATTTAAAGCTGTGAGGCTCTTGGCCCAGAATAAAGGCCAGTACTGGTCTAAAATTTGTTGTATAAATGCACATTTAGTGCAGCCATCCTTTTAAATTCTGCTCAAAAAAGCTTTTTTTTAGCATTGCTTCTGCATTCCAAATTCAAGCACTGTAGCTAACCTAATTTGGGCTTTGAGCATCAGCATGAAGACATCTGTACTTTTTAGTAAACCATTATCATTAGTCCTACTTAGATGAAAAACTGCTTTTTACTTGGAACACTGCCTGCAGTTCATTGCCCTTGATGTAAGAACAGGAAGATTCTTCTCTGCTTCAAACTCCCAGAATATATCCTACCGTAAGTATGCCAAGTATTTAGAGCCAACTAATGAAGATAATTTAGGAGTAAAACACCCTCTTTTCAAAATGGAACCCAAATTTGACATTTCTTTTCCATCTTTTACAATACTAAAAATTCTATATTCAAAATTGATGTAACGACCAAACAAAGATAGCTGTCAAAACACACAGAAGGAGTGAAAGGTAAAACAAATACTCCTTATAATACAATTCCAAAAAACTTCAACTCAAATTATAAAAATAATAAAACAACTTATAAAATTTTGCTGCAACTTCCTACATTAAAAATAAAGCAAGCAACACACAGAAATCCGTCGCTTTTCTATACACTAACAATGAACTAACAGAAAGAGAAATCAGGAAAACAATTCCATTCACAATAGCATCAAAAAGAATAAAATACCTAGGAATAAACCTAACCAAGGAAATGAAAGACCTATACCCTGAAAACTATAAGTCACACTCTTAAGAGAAATTAAAGAGGACATGAACAAATGGAAACTCATTCCATGCTCCTGGCTAGGAAGAATTAATATCATCAAAATGGCCATCCTGCCCAAAGCAATATACAGATTTGATGCAATCCCTATCAAATTACCAATAGCATTCTTCAACGAGCTGAAACAAATAGTTATAAAATTCATATGGAAACAGCAAAGACCCCGAATAGCCAAACAATCCTGAGAAGGAAGAATAAAGTGGGGGGGATATCACTCCCCAACTTCAAGCTCTACTACAAAGCTAGAGTAATCAAGACAATTTGGTACTGGCACAAGAACAGAGCCACAGACCAGTGGAACAGAATAGAGACTCCAAACATTAACCCAAACATATATGGTCAAATAATATATGATAAAGGAGCCATGGACATACAATGGGGAAATGACAGTCTCTTCAACAGATAGTGCTGGCAAAAGTGGACAGCTACATATAAGAGAATGAAACTGGATCACTGTCTAACCCCATATACAAAAGTAAATTCAAAATGGATCAAAGGCCTGAATGTAAGTCATGAAACCATAAAACTCTTAGAAAAAACATAGGCAAAAATCTTAGACATAAACATGAGTGACTTCTTCATGAACATATCTCCTTGGGCAAGGGAAAGAAAAGCAAAAATGAACAAGTGGGACTATATCAAGCTGAAAAGCTTCTGTACAGCAAAGGACACCATCAGCAAAACAAAATGTATCCTACAGTATGGGAGAATATATTCATAAATGACAGATCCGATGAAGGGCTGACATCTAAAATATATAAAGAGCTCATGCACCTGAACAAACAAAAATCAAATAATCCAATTAAGAAATGGGCAGAGGAGCTGAATAGACAGTTCTCCAAAGAAGAAATTCAGATGGCCAACAGACACATGAAAAGATGCTCCACATCACTTGCTATCAGAGAAATGCAAATTAAAACCACAATGAGATATCACCTCACACCAGTAAGGATCACAACCATCCAAAAGACAAACAACAAATGTTAGCAAGGTTGTGGAGAAAAGGGAACCCTTCTACACTGCTGGTGGGAATGTAAATTAGTTCAACCATTGTGGAAAGCAGTATGGAGATTCCTCAAAAAGCTCAAAATAGAAATACCATTTGACCCAGGAATTCCACTCTTAGGAATTTACCCTAAGAATGCAGCAGCCCAGTTTGAGAAAGACAGATGCACCCCTATGTTTATCACTGCACTATTTACAATAGCCAAGAAATTGAAGCAACCTAAGTATCCATCAGTAGATGAATGGATAAAGAAGATGTGGTACATATACACAATGGAATATTATTCAGCCATAAGAAGAAAACAAATCCTACCATTTGCAACAACATGGATGGAGCTAGAGGGTATTATGCTCAGTGAAATAAGCCAGGCAGAGAGAGGCAAGTACCAAATGATTTCACTCATATGTGGAGTATAAGAACAAAGAAAAACTGAAGGAACAAAACAGCAGCAGAATCACATAACCCAAGAATAGACTAACAGTTACCAAAAGGAAAGGGACTGAGAAGGATGGGTGGGAAGGGAGGGATAAGGGCAGGGAAAAAGAAAGGGGGCATTACGATTAGCATGTGTAATGTGGGGGGCGCACGGGGAGGGCTGTGCAACACAGAGAAGACAAGTAGGGATTCTGCAGCATTTTACTATGCTGATGGACAGAGACTGTAATGGGGTTTGTGGGGGGGACTTGGTGAAGGGGGAGCCTAGTAAACATAATGTTCTTCATGTAATTGTAGATTAATGATACCAAAAAAAAAATACAGCAAGCTTCAATAATAGTTTTAACCACAATTCTAAAACACACAGTATGTTTTCTCCTAAACATACAGTTAACTGATATATTTGTACCAAATACAACTGGACTCACAGTTCTCATAAAAATTTTTGTAATCCATTTCAATAGGGAATACTCTCAAAGGAGAATATAAATTAGCAGTCTTTAAACTAGGATACTCATGCTCTAGGGACACATAACCACTTTCTCAGGAATAAGCAAGCTTTGATAGTTTCAAAAGCCAATTTTGAGATCAGCAACTTTTTTCTTGAAGAACACCTCTGATCAGGGGATCTGCTTTCACAGTGACACTTCACCAATTTTACATAAGGGACAACATTAAAGCAAACTGTACCAGGTGTAGAAACTTCTAAAGTACCAAAGGCAGTTCAACACTTTGTGCCTTGGCTGAGAAAGTAAGTCCAACAACTAGGCAGCACAGCCTTTTTTAACAGAAATGGTTTCCAATTCTTTGTCTTCAACAAAATCAAAAACAGACTTCAAGAGTGCTCACCTAATAGATCAATAAGTAACACTTGCTGAAAGATATTTATGTGATTTGGGGTTAAAACTCAGGAATTTAAAAAAACTAGTGAAACTAATACAATTCCCCATATCTCCATGCTCTTATCTATGTGAACAATGGCATTTTCATTAGGAAAAAAAACATCAAAAAAAACAAACAAAAATGGATAGAACTGATGCTGAACTGTGTCTCATTTAGGTGTAAGTAGCATTCATTCAGAGAAACCTGAAGTAATTAAAACACAGAAGTCCCACCAACTCATAAAGAAAATAATTTATGATGAATGTTGATGTACTACTTTTACAATGTATTTATAAAATCTACATTAAATACATTTAATTATCTTTGTATTAATAACGGTTGCAATAATAAGTATTTTGTAACATACAGATATTTAAAAGTTGTGTATTACTGAAAGAAAAAGCACACTACCTGGATAAGCACACTGCAGCAGAGCTATGGATTTTCCTCCAGGAGCAGCACACAGATCCAGAACCTTCTCCCCATCCCTTAACTCCAGAGCCAGTATTGGGAGAAGAGAGGCAGCATTCAGAAGATAGTATTTTTTTAGGTTTCCAATTTTGTGTCTTTCTGAAGGCATTCTCTCTGGAGTTCTGCTAAGGTAACACTTCAGTGATTTGGGATAGTAGTGTAAAGATCCTTGAAAGAGTGTGTGATAGCCTCTCATATGTAAATTCTTTTCCAGTTCCAAGGGATAATTAAATCGGTTAAGAAGGACTGCATATTGCCAACGTGATGGAGATATTAGTATATCCCTAGAAATAGAAAAAGAAAAACAAAGGAATATGAGTATTACACGAACCAACGCAATTTTATATTACCCATAGAAGTGAATATGGCCGTAGTTTTAAAGTCATCTGTGGCTTTCAGCTCCAGGTCAGCATTACTGATTTTTCTTTCTGACTCAGGTTCCAATAATGGCTCAATCCAGCATGTTACGATACTGTCTTTATTTAAAACTTTGGTATTTTATTCACTTTAGGTATTTCTTTTTTTTCTTTCAGTTTTGGGCACTAAAATATTTTTTATCTTGATTACTGAGTTCTAGGCACCCCTTAAATTCTTCACTGGAGAAGAATGCCACATTCATTTGCCTCAGACCCATCCCTCCCTGCAGACTATTTTACCAAAAATAAATAAATAAATAAACATGGCACACCTTTCCATACCTCTAAAACCATCAAAATAGATTTTGGTCACTCTTTGCACTATTTCTTAGATATAAATTTTAAACCCCGAGACTATTAATATTGGAGGGAAAGTACTCTTAAAGGGTGTTTAAAGGACTCAATGTTAAAGTTCTCCTCTGAAGATAAAAGTATGGAAAACCCACTACAGTGAACTTGGCAGTAGAAGAGTCAATGAGGTGATCTGTGGCTCAGATGACAAAAAACCAAGGACAGTTTAAAAATCACGGATTGATGGTGTAGGCTCTCCTGTCCCCACCCCCAGCAGATTTACTTTCCTAATTTTGTATTCAGTCCAATAGTTACATCTCTTGACAATCAAAACCTCACAATAATTTACAGATTATGCAGCAGGAAATATTTATTTACCAACTGACCTTTCTAGCTTAGTTATTTGGGAGCTTCATTAACCATGGTCAATTAAATAAATTAAATAAACTGCTACTCACCTGGGAGTTGCCTATGTAAGAAATGGCTAGGTAGAAATGTAACACCGGCAACTCCAAGTGTGTCACCTGAATATCAATGGGGTCTTATAAATGAAACTGCTTTCTCCTTCCACTGCCTCTTACTATGACAGTGCATCATAGGAGCCAGGCTGTTTCAGCAATTCCTGAGGATGACAGCCTTTCTTAAGAACATGCTTCACCAACTTTAGCATGCAGTAAGTGTCTGTAAAAAACTGCTGAGCCTTATGCCTGGAGTTTCTGATTCAGTAGGTCTAAGGTGGGACGTGAGAATTTGCATTTCTAAAAAGTTCCTGCATGATACTGATGTTGATCCCCAAGACCATACTTTGGGAACCAAATTTAACTACTGCATTAAAATGGACCCTAAAGGGAAAATCTGTGAATTCCACTGTTGCCAAATCTTCTGTCAGTCCACCCTAATCTTACCCTCCAAACTGCTGAAATCTATCCAGGGTTTAAGTTATATAGTAACAGAAATAATGGTGGGAAACATAATTTAATACAGGCTGGAATGGCTTGGTTTACATGGTGTGTCCACCCTTCAACTAACAAAGGGTAGGACACTTTCATTTGTTTAATATCTGACACAGCAAATCTCCATTCTTCTTTTTTATTTTTCCTTAAGAATTTTCAAAGCTATCTTAGAATGTTTATACTTTCTCAGATGGATTTCAGAATCAGATGGTCAGTTAAAAATCATTTATAAAATATTTTGTGTAGATAGGCAGATAAGTACCCTTGACTAGGATATTAAATGCAATTAACTTGGGAAGAATCAATATTTTTATTATACTTAGTATTTCCAACCCTGACCACAGTATGCTTTTACATTTATTCACATTTTCTTTCAGATCCCTTAATAAAGGTTATTAGTCTTGCATATTTCCTTTTAACCTTATATAAAAGGATTGAAAGTTTAGGAACACTATTGATTTTTGCCTATTACCCAATATGTTACATCTAGATGAGGAGGAATTAGCCATAGGACGAAATGGGAAAGTTTGTTCCAGGGCAAAGGCATAGGACATGAGGCACAGAAGTATGAAGGACAATGCATTTGGGGAGTGAAAAGTAGTTGTGTGGCTGATGGCAAATTGTATGTGTCAGGTAAAATGTGATAAAGTTTTATATTTTATAAGTGATGGGAAGTCACTGAATCTCTAGGGGAAGAGCCTCACTCAATTTAAAAATGTACTTACGGCAGAGGGAAGCAAGAATCCTGAGAAATTATTCTATCTCATTCTCTAACAACTAGATAAAATAAGGCCTTATCAGACACAAATAAATGTTCTGGTTCTTCCTAACCTATACCCAGCCCTACTGAACATTTCCTGAGACAAGTTATTTTTAGGTTTTACCAGTCTCAGCATAAACTTAGCGGCATTCCCTCTGCCTAGAATGACCTGTCCTCTCGCACCCACATGTTGTGTGATTAAAATGGACCCTAAAGGGAAAATCTGTGAATTCCACTGTTGCCAAATCTTCTGTCAGTCCACCCTAATCTTACCCTCCAAACTGCTGAAATCTATCCAGGGTTTAAGTTATATAGTAACAGAAATAATGGTGGGAAACATAATTTAATACAGGCTGGAATGGCTTGGTTTACATGGTGTGTCCACCCTTCAACTAACAAAGGGTAGGACACTTTCATTTGTTTAATATCTGACACAGCAAATCTCCATTCTTCTTTTTTATTTTTCCTTAAGAATTTTCAAAGCTATCTTAGAATGTTTATACTTTCTCAGATGGATTTCAGAATCAGATGGTCAGTTAAAAATCATTTATAAAATATTTTGTGTAGATAGGCAGATAAGTACCCTTGACTAGGATATTAAATGCAATTAACTTGGGAAGAATCAATATTTTTATTATACTTAGTATTTCCAACCCTGACCACAGTATGCTTTTACATTTATTCACATTTTCTTTCAGATCCCTTAATAAAGGTTATTAGTCTTGCATATTTCCTTTTAACCTTATATAAAAGGATTGAAAGTTTAGGAACACTATTGATTTTTGCCTATTACCCAATATGTTACATCTAGATGAGGAGGAATTAGCCATAGGACGAAATGGGAAAGTTTGTTCCAGGGCAAAGGCATAGGACATGAGGCACAGAAGTATGAAGGACAATGCATTTGGGGAGTGAAAAGTAGTTGTGTGGCTGATGGCAAATTGTATGTGTCAGGTAAAATGTGATAAAGTTTTATATTTTATAAGTGATGGGAAGTCACTGAATCTCTAGGGGAAGAGCCTCACTCAATTTAAAAATGTACTTACGGCAGAGGGAAGCAAGAATCTTGAGAAATTATTCTATCTCATTCTCTAACAACTAGATAAAATAAGGCCTTATCAGACACAAATAAATGTTCTGGTTCTTCCTAACCTATACCCAGCCCTACTGAACATTTCCTGAAACAAGTTATTTTTAGGTTTTACCAGTCTCAGCATAAACTTAGCGGCATTCCCTCTGCCTAGAATGACCTGTCCTCTCGCACCCACATGTTGTGTGGTTGACTCACCTACCCTGTGCTCAGGGTACTGTTTACATGTATCTCCCCAGGGAAGCATTTCTACCTTCCACCTAATCCACTGGCTCCACCTCACCCCAATACTATTAATACAAAAAATTACTGATTAAATTCTTACAATGTGCAATTTGCATGCTTACCTCTTTTAACCATCATGACCATGAGAGGCAGCTATTTCCCAAATTTCAGAGGTCAGGCAACTGATGCTTTCAGAGATTTGGCAACCTATCCTAGGCCACACTGCTGTTAAGCAGAAGTACCTGATGCAAAATCTGGCTGGCTTTAAATCCACATAGGAGTGTGAGACCCTGGTACTGTTAACACAGGGAGGGGCAGAGAATTTCCACACCAAGCAACCTTCAGCTAGTGCCAATGGCCCTTGTCCTCCTTTCCAGTCAGCCTATTGTTTCTAGCAATGAGAATAGTTTGACACACTCAGACCAGAGGGCCAGCTTAACGAAGGCACCGCTGAGGCTGTTAATGCTGGTGCTTCCTAGTCCTGAGAAAGCAAAGTGGCGTATTTATGTGTCTCAGCTACCCCTACATCCAGCTGCCAGCGACCTCCCCTACCCAGCCAATACCCGCTCCCCCCAAGGATTGCACTGGTGTGATGAAGCCCTAGGCCTGGATGGCCAATGGCTACTCAAACCCAAAGCTCTGACGGATGGGTACATAACTTGGCAGACATTGGAGGGAGTGCACACTAGGAGACTCAAAAACACACTGACCAGGCTCCACACTCCAGGCTTCCTCCCAAAACTCATGAGTCTGAAGGTGCTCCACTTACTGGTCTCCAAGGCCAGAAGTTCAAGTACACGTTACAAGCAGAACTGGGACCCACAAGGTTTGCCAGTATCCCCACTGATACCATTTTGGAAAAAAGTATGTGCCCTTCAGCATGTTTCAGGTTGACACCAAAACCTGCACCATGTTTAAGGATATAACTTACAGCATACCACAAAAACTGATGTTTTAAATACATCACTTTTAAAATTATACCACTTTTTAAAATGTATCCAGTGGAACCTAAATACCATAGTGACTTTGAAAACTATCTGTCCATTTAAAAATTCATGGACTGACTCTTCTTGAACAGATGGAAATTTTAAACTGTTCCTTTTTCTTTTTTTTATCCTAATACATTTTTGTGCTTGCAGCCTATCATACCTCTCTGACACACACACACATACACATGTATAGACTACATTTGTTTTCACTGTGACCTTAAAATCTCCAAGTATTAAATGGTAACTTCCAGATTGTTATCAATAAAATTATTAGTACACAATTGATCAAAATAACTTAGAGGTTTGATAATT